GTTGGTGACGGACATCACATAAGAGAGAGGATTGACTAAAGTGAAGAGATTGAACCAAGGATCGTATGATGAGTGTTAGGTGTGATGGTGCGGGTAAGAGTAGTCTTCAAACGCAAGACATCTTCCAATACAACTGGCTGAGTTGAAAACCATTCACTTTTGTCCTATCGAGTTTTTTTTTTTATACTTTTCTTTCTTCGTTAGTAGTGAAAACGCCACCGGTTCATGGTCAACTGTTGGATGCCGAATCAGCCGAAAAGAATCCAATGAAAACTACACCGTTTGTCACTGTGATCACTTGACTCACTTTGCGGTTTTGATGAAAGTGACAGTCGATGACAAGGTAATAGTATGCAACAGAAATTATGAATTTAGTTTGTTCGGTTTTGCGGAGGGAGTTAAAYCGGACCGGAGAATCCGGACAAAAACCCTTAAATCAAGGAAAAGTCCTTAAACAAAATCTACTCCCCGAGGCCCTAAAATATTCCTAAAATATTTTTGAATATTTTAAAATAAGTTTTGAGAAGTTTAGTTGCTCCCTCTGCTGCTGGTCTGGGAGGGACAAAACTCTTTCTCATTTCGAACCACGTGTCATTCCCTAGAGCCTCATTTCTTTGTTTAACAGTTGCAAATCAGAAGACAGAGTAATATACCTCTTTACATTGGGTGTAATGTTTTCGCATTACAGACCACATGTCATTCCCTAGAGTATCATTTCTTTGATTAACGGTTTCAATGAGAAGAATACACTGCACATGAATATGGATACAACTCAAACAAAGAATCTTATTTTCAAAAGTTTGACACGTGGTCTGAAATGGGAAAAGATTACGCTCAAGGTAAAGAGGTGTATTGGACAAATAATCTTAATAAAACTAACACTATCCTCATGCCTTGAAGGACAAGCCTATGTCTAGGTCCCACATAGTTGCACTGGAAGCCATTACATACGTGGGATGCTCCTTGTCTTTGATTGGTGAAGTCCTGACTATTGTAACTTTGACTTGTTTACGGTAAGTTGAATCAATGTTGAAAATTCAAACATTCAAACAACCTGTGAAACAATATCTGGACTGATCAAAGTCAGGGCATGGCTAACTCACAGATCGAGCCCTGAAACAACCTCTGGGCTGATCTAAGTCAGGGCATGGCTAACTCACAGATTAAACACTGAAACAGCCTCTGGGCTGATCTAAGTCAGGGCATGGCTAACTCACAGATCGAGCCCTGAAACAACCTCTGGGCTGATCTAAGTCAGGGCACGGCTAACTCACAGATTGAACCCTGAAACAACCTCTGCGCTGATCTAAGTCAGGGAACTTTCAGATCGAATTGGAATTTAGCGTATTAGGTGATTTGGAGAGAGCAAAACTCTCAAATCAAGAAAGAGTCCTAACAAATTCTACTCACATTTAATAGCAAGTCCAGGGGTCGAACCTGAGACCCCAGAGGTGAGAGGCGAATGCATTTTGTCGCAAAAATGAAATAATTCGTTCCACTATAATTCCACTTCAATATTCCATGCAGTTTAGAAGTCTCTGTTGTTCGTATTGTTGAATTTGTGCATTCTTTACTTTACTGTTGGTATTTGTGAATATCCTGACTCTGAAATGAGTCTCACCTTGAAAAAAGAGCTAGCTAAACGAGAGAGAAAAACAAAACATTAATACAGTATAAAGATTCAAAGAAAAAAAAAAAAATGGCTGTCTTTTTATTGTTTGTAATACCATCTTTGATCTCCTTTTAGTTTGGCCCGAACAGAGACCAACACGATCCATCTTAACTTGGTGACCGCCTTGGGTTTGGCGCAAATCATCTTCTTGTCAGGAATCGGTGCGACAGCCAACAGGGTAAGATAATGGCCAACAAACATGGCTGTCATTGAAGAGATAGAAAACGCGCGAGCGTGCGCGTGCTGTGTTCAGTTATAAAGCACGTGGGATATGCAGAACACGAGAGAAGCGTTAGGAGAAGCACGTAGCTGTATCCCTTGTGCATCAGCTAAATAAAGAAACTATACTCAAGGGAATAACAAGTGCTCTGGAAAGGGAAACATTATGTCCAAGGCGATGAAGTCTATTAAATATTCAATTAAACGATTAATCTTTTTTTTGTTCTCGTTAAGGGGGTTTGCAAATTTGTAGCAATCGCTCTCCATTTCTTTAACCTGGTAGCGTTCTGTTGGATGTTGGTTGAAGGGCTCTGGTTGTACGTGATGGTAGTTCGCGTCTTTGACACCGGCTACAACAGGATTAGGCGATATGTTATCGCTGCATGGAGTAAGTCAATAACATATCTAATTGCACAGTCTACATAGATACATACATACATACATACATACATACATACATACATACATACATACATACATACATACATACATACATACATACATACATACATACATACATAATCTTTATTTAAA